GAGCTGGGAGCTGCCCTGATGGTGAAGGTTCTGGTTCTGCACCAAGGCAGGGGCTTGCGGAGCTGGGAGCTGCCCTGATGGTGAAGGTTCTGGTTTTGCACCAAGGCAGGGGCTTGTGGAGCTGGGATAGCCGCTCAGCCGGGGTCCCATCCTCTTAGCTTGGAAGCTGTTTCAGGTGAGGTGCCCGGGGATGGGCACAACGGGCAGGGTGCAGGAAAGGTGTCTGTCTCCCTAAGTGTGGGATTTGGAAACGCCTTCCTGAGTGCAGCTATAGCCTGCTTGCTTCCCGTGCTCCAACTCACAAAGTTACTTTTCTTCTTTTTCAAGGTTCCGAAGATTCTGAAGGAGGAGGAGGAAGAGAAGCGGGCACAGAGGCATCAGTGGCCGTGGTGGATGCTCAGGGGAAGTGGGAAGCCAATGGCGCATTTAATTCTGATGATGATTCCGAGAGCTGCCCGATTTGTCTCAATACTTTCAGAGACCAGGCTGTGGGGACACCAGAGAACTGTGCCCATTATTTCTGCCTGGATTGTATCGTCGAATGGTCCAAGGTGAGGGAGGCAGCTTCTCTTGGGTTCTTCTTTCCTTCGGGATGACCTCTCTCCATTTACAAGGGACCCTGTCGGTTGCCAGCCTCTTACTGGGTGGTGCTCTTTGTTCTACAGTAGAAATTGGGGCCATAGGATTGGGTCCTGGCTTGGTCTTTGCTTTGGTTGGTGTGCTCTTGGCTCTTGGGGTGGCCAGTAAAGCTCACTGTGGGGTGATGTTCTCATGGAGCATGGGATAAGGAGGGTTATTTCTGGGTCAGTGTCCCTTGGGGACTTGTCTGCAGAAATCTTGAATGACCTAGGGGCAGTCTGTGGCTGGCAGAGGCAGCCCAGTATGCTGTGGTCCATTTCAGATGCAGAGCATGAGATTGAGCTCGGCACTGAGTCGCAATGACCAGCAGTAAAGGGAGCCGGCCTTAAAGCAGATGAAGAGAATTTATCAGAAATACACAGTATATTTCATGATGAACTTTATTTTTTTTTAAAGATTTTATTTATTCATTTGAGAAAGAGAGATATAGAGAGAGCACGAGTGGGGAGGAGAGGGAGAAGCAGGCCCCCCGCAGAGCAGGGAGCCCGATGTGGGACTCGATCCCAGGACCCTGAGATCATGACCTGAGCCGAAGGCAGATGCCTCACTGACTAAGCCACCCAGGCGCCTCTCATGGTGAACTTGAGAAGCAGTAACCCCCTTCTTCCTACTTTTTAAAATTTCTTACCATGAAAAATTTCAAAGACGTAGAAGAGGAATGATGTGTGCCACCGCCCCCCCACCCCGGCCCGTCACCGTCTTCAGGAACCTTAAGTCTGCTCTCCTCTGCCCAACCTGGAACTTCACCAGCATGGACGCTGTGTGGAGGTAGCAGACCATGCCACCACCTCCCCCAGCGAGGTTAACAGTAACCCCAGAGCCCCAGCCCTGCTCCCCGTTTGCCCAGAGAGCTCGGGAGTTTGTTTGGACCTCGGCCGCGTTGATGCCGCCCTCACGGCTGCACGTCTGCTGCCTCGCTGTGTGTCCTTTGAGGGCTTCCCTGCCCCTGCCACTACCTGCTTATGTTCCGTGGCACAGGTTAGATTAAGGTTTAGATTTTTGGAGGAAGCAAAGCCTTGTAAGTTTGAGGAACATGACAAGGTGCTGGTTGCTTGTCTTCTAGCCGCTATCATACTGGGTTAGGGAAAGGAGAAAATAAAGGTAGAAGCGTCAGGTAGGGAAAGGTATTCTTTGCAAACTATAAGTTTGTCGACAAAGATGTTATACAAATGAACTGTCGGAATGCGAAGCTCAGCAAGATTGCTGGGCACAGGATTAACAAAGATGAAAAGTTATACTCAGAAGTGGGCGCCTGGGTGGCTCAGTCGTTAAGCGTCTGCCTTCAGTTCAGGTCTTGATCCCAGGGTCCTGGGATCGAGTCCCACATCGGGCTCCCTCCTCAGAGGGAAGCCTACTTCTCCCTCTCCCACTCCCCCTGCTTGTGTTCCTGCTCTCATTGTCTCTCTCTGTCAAATAAATAAATAAAATATTTTTTAAAAAAAAGTTACACTCAGAAGTAAGTCATAAAAAGACGTGAGACCTTTAAAGAGCTTTTCTAAAACACTTGGGACTGAATGAAGAAAGAGCACTTTCTGGAGGGGAGGTGCTCAGAGAGATGGCTGTGGTGATACCAGTTCCTCCCCGTCCTGACTGGAGCATCCAGAGCCCTAGCGATGTTGGGAAATTCATAGAGGAGGGAAAGAAAATACCAAGAATTGATAGTCCTTTTGAGAAAAGGAGAAGTCACCTACTGGATATTAAGATTTATAAAACTATTGTGACTACACCGGGATTGCTCCAGGAATGGAGACCAGGCCCCAGGAGCGTGGTGGGGACCTAAAGGGCAGGCCTCGCACAAGGGAGAGTGGCGCTCTTTGTAAATGAGCGTGAGTGTGAGAGATGGAGAGAAAGAGGGTCCAGCTCGAAATGTACGCACAGCGCCGCCTGGACCGAAGATGGGGCGCTAGCAAGCAGCTCTCTAGAGCCTTCTGAAGAAAGTGCAGGGCACCTGTCAGGACAGAGAAGGACTCTTAACTCTGCCCGGGAGCAGTTGGGAGTGTGGTTCCACCATGAGACACCACCACAGGTGCCGGAAGGTCAGACCAAGGACCGGGGAGGATGGGAGCCCCCGTACCTCTCATATTGGAGGGTGTGTTCAGTAAAGAGTCGATGATCAGCATACAATGAATTTTTGACTTCTGAAGGAATTCTTTGAGTGTGGTATTTTTTTTTTTTTAAGATTTTTTTTTTTTTGTAAATTTTATTTATTTGAGAGAGAGAATGAGAGACAGCATGAGAGGGAAGAGGGTCAGAGGGAGAAGCACACCCCCCGCTGAGCGGGGAGCCCAATGTGGGACTGGATCCCGGGACTCCAGGACCATGACCTGAGCCGAAGGCAGTCGCTCAACCAACTGAGCCACCCAGGCGCCCCTGAGTATGGTATTAATGGTAAAAACGATCCTACGGGATCCTGATACAATTTTTATTTCTTACAGAATGCCAATTCCTGTCCAGTCGATCGAACTATATTTAAGTGTATTTGTATCCGAGCCCGGTTTGGTGGTAAAATCCTGAAGAAGGTAAGTGTAGATGCTGTGGTCGAGGAGCCCCTCTTCCCCGCCAATGCCTTACTGCATTGGTCCCTGTCTAATGGGAGAATGCGCTTTCAGAAATTGATTTGTTTTCCTGAAGTGAGTAAATACTGGTTAAGTGCTTTTTAGAAATCCACTAAAATGTCATCTGCAGCATGAAGGGGTGAAGCCGGTCGATGGAGGTGCTGCCTCGTCTACGAGTTCTGGGTGGGAGGGCAGGTGGGTGGGGAGGGTGGGGCGGATAGTGGCAGTTTCTCAGACTTCCTCCTCCCCACTCCCACGTGCCTTTTCTACATCTCACAGCTTCTCTCCTCCGCCACAACAGCCAAGGGGGAGACCACACCCCCGATGGTGCTGGGCAGGGGTCACGCACAAGGAGGGCTAAGAAGTTCTCCTCTGCTCTTAGGTGCTTGTCTGCTTTGTAGAGGCTCGAAGGGCCTGTACGAGTCCTCTATTGTTGAGGAGGAGCATCCCAGAGACTTGCAGACACGCCTTAGACATGGGTCTTGTAGCTGTAGACCTGCTGGTTTCTTTACAAAGGTCACAGAGCCTAGGTGCACGGGGACTTGGGCCCTGTAGGCTCAGGTTTGTGCTGCAGGCAGCAGCTGTGGTTTTGCCAGTTCAGGCCCCTGTCCCCTGTCCCAGAAGCTCTGTTGTCCTTCCCTGGAAGCGGTCCCCATCTCATGTAGGCAGCCTTCGTTTACCTGGAGTATCCGCCAGGGCAGTGTGTGGACGTGTGTAGAGAGGTCCAAGTGGCACACAAACAAGCTCAGCTGGAGAAGATGGGAGAGTGACCCACGGTGCAGGAGGCTGGGGAGGACCCTGAGTCTCCCACCTGGCTCTGGAGAAAAGGCTGAGCGGGTGCTGACACAGACGGAGGAGAGGAGCAAGGCTGTGCCCCACGGCGTGGGGAGACGGGCGGGGGACGGAGGTGGCAACCGTTTGAGGGGAGTGTGTCCACAGAGCTTGCACACCAGGCCTGGGTAACGGCAGCGTAGAGGACCACGCCCCTGAGCCTGCGTGGAGGGCCCGCCCCCTGCGCAGCTGTGACTGTCCCGGTGCACGTGGCCTCCGAGGCTCCCTGTCTTTGCTGAGTGGAATGGCAGTTCTCAAGAAAGGCCTGCTGCTTTTGTCCTGCTCCCTCCTCACGTTCCCAGCGCCGGGGTCCGGGCTTGTCCCGCCGGTTCACTCTGCTCTGGGGCCTTCCTGTGGGAGGAGCTGCTTGGTGTGCTCCGCGCCGGCACAGTTGTTGGCTCTGCGGTTTGGGCTCCTGCCGTGTGACCGGTAGGGCTTTTCTGCTTTCAGATTCCAGTGGAGAACGCCAGAGCCAGAGAGGGTGAGGAGGAAGACCCAACCTTTTGTGAGGTGTGCGGCAGGAGTGACCGGGAGGACCGTCTGCTCCTCTGTGATGGCTGTGATGCCGGGTGAGCCTGGAGCCCTTCTCGAGGCAGTTTCGGAAGCAGATGAGCCGCTTCTGCTGTCCCGAGTCCCTGACAAGTGGGAAGTCCCTCGGAACTGCGGAGCCCAGCCTCTGAGACCGGGGTCTTAAATGAACCTGTTAGAGGGAAGTCCGCAGGGCTGCTGTTCTGTGCTTCCCACCCACAGCTGTTCGCTGCTGTGGGCACTGGGGCCAGGCACCCTGTATTCAGAACAGCTGAGCCCCAGGCCGCTGGTTGGTAGCCAGCAGGCCTCCTCTTTTACTCCCCGCCTGTTACACCCTCTACCTGTCCCCCGCAAATATTCTGAGGCCACTTACAGAGATGCACATGATGCATCAAGACAGAGAAAAGCCAAAGGAAACACGAGAAGTCGGGGCTCTGGGGCCAGCCAGCAGGTCCAGGGGCCCAGATAAAGGACATGTGCGGGACCCCGCCTTCTAGGAGGTCAGGTGATCCCTGTGTCCAGCAGGCCCTGGCTCCTGGGAGCCATTCCCCGGCCTCCTTCCATCATGGTTCCTCTTCTCAGGGACCCCTGAGGGGGCTGCCGCTGGATGTCTTAAAGAATTTTTCTGCTGTAAGCTTGTGGTGAGAGGGTGGTGGCAGCCTCTCAGGGCACGGGTGGTAATGAGAGAATCCCATGAGGCTGGCAGGTCTGGAACTTTCTCTGGGGCAACAAGTAGCCCTTTTGAGGGTTGGGCTGACAGCAGGAGGCAAGAAGTCTCGAGCCCTGGTGGCCCAGAGCTGGCCCTGGAAGTGTTCGAGTTTGTTCCTGTTGCAGACTGGCCCAGGCTTTGACCCCTGCCCAGGGCCTCCCTATCCAGGGCCTCCTGCGTGGAACTTGGTTGGTCACATGCTTGCTCCCCAGACAAATGCCACATGCTGTGCATTTATCTTCCTAGGGCATTTCCCAGGGCCCTCCCTCTCTGGCGCTACCCTCTTGACTCACACACTGTCTGGTCTCCCTTCTCACGAGTGGCTGCCTGCATGCGTGCCATGTGAATGCTCCACTAACAGGCTGCTCCAGCTGGGGGCCCCGGGAGTTTCCATTTTTGACTGCCCCCTGCTCATTGGTTGCTATGAGTCTGGAGGACAGGAGAGGGGTGCCTTGGGTGTCCTGCAAGCCCTCGAGGCCAGTCCCTGCTCTTGCCATCCCTGTGCCTAGTTTACTGACTTGACTGAGTGCAAGCAGGAAGCTGAAAAAATACAGTCTCCTGGGGCTCCAGGGCCGAGTGATCAGCTCAGCACCCAGAGCTCAGCTCACATACAAAACCAGTCCTTCCTCCGTGTTTATGGCCACTCTGGCTGGGCCTGGAACAGCTGGATGCTGCAGGAGAGGCCATTGGAGGTGGGAAGGACTGCCGTGTGGGAGGACTGTGGTCCTTGTCACTGGCCTCACCTCTGCAGCCCAGGGCCCCCCAGCCGGATGCCAGACTTGGGTGCCTTCTGGTGGTCCCCAAGGTGGCTGGTGAGCCCAGGCGAGGCTGTTGGAATGTTCCCTTACAAGGCCTCGTTGTTTTCCTGCAGCTTTTGAATTGGGCCACGGTGCTCAGTTCTTTACGCCAGGGTCTGTTCTTAATCCTTGTAACTAAACAGTGACTTTTAGGGATTTTATGTGCTTGAATTCTTGAGCAGATAACAAAGCAACTAAGGGACGTAAAAATCCTGATGAGTCTAAAACATTAAGACCGATAAATATAGTGGTCTATAAACCACCATGCACCCTTACACTATCAGTATCTGGCATCTGCTGAATCTTCTTATCACTGTCTTTCATCTTAACGATCAAGTCTGAAATTATTCCATTACTCTTTTGGAAATGGAATCAAGGCTGTAGATACACGAATGTATGTAACAGATCCTTTGGCTCTTACAGGAAGTAAGATACAGATTATCTGATTTCCTGAAACTTGCATTTTAACGTGAAGGTAGTATTGAGTCACTGGGGAAGCCATGGAGGACGTCACTGCGTTCTGTCGCTGCAGCTTCCATGCGGGCAGGAGGTCAGTTCTGCGTGGCTGCAGCTGCCGGACAGAGCGGTGTCCTTGGCTCAGGAGCTGTGCCCCCATCCTGGCGGCCACTCTGTGACCCTCCCTCCGTGTGAGTCCACAACCAGTCTTCCCCATGGAGTGACTGTGCTGGACCAGGCTGGCCAGGCCCCACACCTGTCACACACACCAGCGGCCTCTGCGCAAGGCCCTGGAACTTGGCCTGAGGACAACATCGAGTGAACCGTGTTGGATTGCAATCCTTTGTGAGAAGCTACAGAGTCACTGCTTCTATTCCTGAGACCATGCAGGGAAGGATCTTCTGAGGCTGGGATCTACTTGGGGTGTTGGGGTGCTCCCCAGGACTTGATGCTGGCCTGGGCTTGCTGGGTTGCATTCCAGTGAGGGGTTCATGGGGCAAGGGTTTCCACCTGTCCTGGCTCACCAGATGCTCACATTTCAGCGCTGTGAGCAGTGCGTGGTCGTTAAGCTGCACTGAATCTGGGCTCAGGTCTTCAGGGATTTAGCGGGGTGTCCACATGGGTTTTTGTCTGGCTCAGGGCTATCTGGGCTCTTGGCATGAAGCTTGGTGAAGGCTGGCTCGGGAAGCCCATGCCAGCAGTGAAGTTACTCTTCCCAGACTGCTTTCCTTGAAGACTGGATCGAAGCAACTGGAAGACCATGTTTAGGCCACATTTCTGTCTATTTTCAGCAAACAAAACCTTTCTTTCTCTATTAGCTCCTCAGACTGGATTATGAAGTGTGAGGTGCCAACATTGGAAACTCTTGGGGCTCCCAAGTGACAGTGGGGTGGGGAAGGACAATCTGAGGTCTCATAACCAACCAGAGATGAGCCTCCAGGTGCAGGCAGGTGTAAGACACCTGTCACGGTCAGCCACATGTCCCCCACAGGATGGAGCTCCCCTGGGTCACGTGGCCACCTGAGCCAGTCCACACAGTACGCCTCTCGTGGAGGGTTTCAGGGACCGTTGGGCCCCCTTTAGAGGACAGAGCTACCCAGCAAGCCCGGGGGCGGGGGAGGGGACTGCAGGAACATTAGGAGCCTAGTGTCTCTCGTCTGATGCACGTGGACCTCTGAGCAGGCCAGCCTGCGCCATGTCTCCAGGGTCAGGTCTGGTGAGATGTTCAAGGCTGAGGCTGTCAGCAGTGCCTGCCTGTGTGCTCATGGCCTTTCCTCTTCTGGGGAGAGGGAGCATTGGGTCCCTCCGTCTCCTAAGGACCCTAGTCCATGGGTCAGGGCCCCACCCTCATCACCTCGGTTAACCCCCCCCCCCCGCCCCAGAGACCCCATCTCCAAATGCAGTCACTTTGGGTATTAGGGCTCCAACATAGGGACTGAGGGGACAGAGTTGTCTAGAGCAGGGTGTGCTGCAGTCTTGGGACACGTTCATATGACATTCAGTGGCTCACTCGGTTGTAACAGTGATGCTAGAGCCCTTGTCTGCCTCCCTCTTGCTCCTGCAGATACCACATGGAATGTCTGGATCCTCCTCTCGGGGAGGTGCCGGTGGATGAGTGGTTCTGTCCAGAATGTGCGGCACCTGGAGCTGCTCCTGCCGCGGGTAAGGCACTGCCTCCCTCCCAGGCCGGGAGTGCTCAGGGGTGCTTCTTGTCTTCTGGGAGAACTTGCAGGGCTTTCTGTCAGCGCAGCTATATGGCAGTCCGTGGGGTCTGTGGGTTCAGGGCAGCCCAGGCCCCAGGAGATGCCCCCTGCCAGGCTGAGGGCGTGGTGGGTACACATCAGTCCAGGATTTTCTTTCTTCCCAGATGCAGGGCCTGTGAGCGAGGAGGAGGTCTCCCTGCTCTTGGCTGATGTGGTGCCCACCACCAGCCGGCTTCGGCCCCACTCAGGGAGGACCCGCGCCATTGCCAGGACACGGCAGAGCGAGAGAGTCCGAGCAACCGTGAACCGGAATCGGATCTCCACCGCCAGAAGGATCCAGGTGGGTGCGTGCGCCGCTGTGGCTGCCAGTCCTGCAGAGCCGCTCCCGCTTGAGCCTCTCTGGGTGCTGCCCACCCTGTGGCAACACTGGCTGCGGGCAGCCCTGGGAGGGGCAGTGGTGGCTCTTCTTTGCAGTCTGGCAGCTCACCCAGGCAAAGCGGCAAGCTGATGGACAAGGGGTCAGAGGTCCTTGTGGGGGCTGGCCCCATCACAGATGCCTGCAGTCCTTCCTCACTTCTCCTGTGTCTACCTCGTGCCCCGTGTCCTTTCTCCCTGGTCCCCAGCCTGTGCAGCTCCCCCCACCATTTGCTGGGTGACCCTGCTGCTATGCACTAGCACAGTTTGCTGAATCAGCCCTGGCTGTGCCGTTCGCTCCTCACTACCTGCCTCACCCTCATCCTTCATTCTCACCCTGAACTTGCTTCTCGGGAGGGCCTCCCAGGCCCTGTAGTGCCCGCAGGAAGCTCTCAGCCATTTGTCTATCTGAAGCAAGAAGGGGACACCAGCTAGGCCTGTTACTGGCAGGCCGAGGGCATCCAGCTTCTGTGGTTTCCTTGGTGGGGGCTGGCATGGGGCTCCTCCAGGGCTCCCAGGTGGTGCCACCCCCACTGGGGTCCTGCCCAGAGTCCTCCGTGGGGCACAGGCAGATGCGTGAGAACCCCGAGGGCAGTTGCCCCGCTGACAGCACCCTCCTTGCCATGTAGCATGTCCCACGGTACCTCATGTCTTCTCTGCTGGACGAGACCATTGAGGCCGTTGCTGCTGGTCTGAGCACTGCTGTGTACCAGCACCCCGTGGCGCCCCGAGCCCCTGCCAAGCGCAGGAGGAGAGCAGGTAAGCCCAGGTGTGGTGGCTCGGCTGGTGGCCACATGCATGTGTCCCTGAGAAGCAGCAGGCCACGTGCTCGCCCCCCTCCCCCCCGGGAGCTTCACCCCCAGAGCCATGTCAGGTTCTGCAAGCTGGCTTTTTCAGGTCACAGACATCCCGCACAGAAGCTCCTCCAGGCCAGGCAGGTTTGGTCTGCTCTGTCCTTCTGAACACCCACTGCAGACCTGCACGCACATCTGGGCAATGTGGCCGCCCCGACCTTGGTTAGGAAGCACTGTGCAGGACTGGGTGGCCGAACTGCCTTTTTGCCCCTAAATGCAGCAGTACACCAGGAAGACCTGGTTCTGGGCTTTTCTCTGGGAGCTGTTGAAAAAATTGCTTCACTGGTTTCTTGTCCTTTGCCACATTGGTTCTGGTGATTTGGTCCTAGTAAGTCTCGTCCTTGCCTTGGTGTCAGTAGGTCCCTCCCGGGGAGAAGCCTTGGGGCAGCACGTATCCAGTTCCTCCCTTGCGTCATCCTCCGGCCCTGAGCATGGGGATGGCTTCCAGGGTTGGGCTCGAGCTCCATTCTTCAGTGGGTGTGGGCTCCGGTGGAGAGCTCTCCCCCCGCCGCCCCCCCCCCCCGGTCATCTGTTTAAGGCACTGTGGCTTATTCAGTGGGTCGTGATCTGAGCTCTTGGAGCGTCAACTTTATTGATCCAGGTTTAACAGCGAGGACTCCCGCCCCACCTAGCCCTGCCCTTCCCAGCCAATGCCCCCAGCCCCCACCAGGCAGCCCTGGCTTCTTTGCACCAGATGTTAGTTTTGCCTGTTTTCAGACTTCACATAACGAGACGTTCATGAGATCCTGAATGTGTGCTGGTGTGTCACTCAGCATGGTGATTTTGGAGTCTGGGTAGTTGTGTGTGTCAGTGATTAATTTCCGTTTATTGTTGAGGAATATGGATATTACACGGACATATCGCAGTTTGTTGATGCGGTTTCCTCCGGGGGGTCACTTGGCTTGTGTTGGGTTTAGGGTTGTTGCAGACAGAGATGTTGCGAATGTTCCGAACGTCCTTGTACCAGTGTATCGTAGGCAGGTGTTTGGTTTCTCTTGAGGAAGGAGAAGACCAGACCGTGGGCTCACCGGGTAAAGGTGCAGTTAAGGTTATGTGGCTCTGTGTAGCCCCATCAGCAGCATGAGAGCCGAGTGCTGCGCGTCCTCCCCAGCCCTGGGGATGGCCGGTGTTTGTCCTCGCCGTGACCGTGGGGTCTCTGCGACATCCCTGCCTTGCCCTGTGTTCCCCACCGTTGGGCTAAGACCCGGTGCTGTTCAGCTCTGTTGCTGTGGAGGTGCGGGAGTGGGCAGCCTGCATTCATGTGCCTCCCCAACGTGGGCCCGTGCTCTGTGCATGTTCTCTGCTGAGGGTGGGCCTTCCCTTTCTAGTAGACAGAGCCGGGAAATCCATCCGAAGGTCACGCCGATTCTTGACTCAACTTATGAAGGTTATAAGATTTTACTTGTCTCCCATCCGCGTCTCTTGTTTCTCGTGTCAGAAATCCCACATTTCAGTGCTAGCTCGTGTCAGTGCTCACCCCGTTTCCATCCCACAGAGAACAGCCTCAGAATAACAGTTCCAGGTCTTGCCAGCGCTGTGGTTCGAGGCGGGACTGGAAGGTTTTCCTTTTGTCCCCAGCGCGTACCCCACTAAGGGCAGGCCGCACCCCTGTTACCTGTGCTCGGGCAGCTGAGAATAGTTCTTCTGTCTTTGGTTATGCCTTGTTTGCTTCATTTTGCATGGTAGTTTTTTGGTTTAGGGTTCTTTTTTGTTTTTTTTGTTTTGTTTCATTTTGTTTTGGCTTTGCTAGTGAATTTTTTATTTTTATAGACTTCTCTCAAACCTTTGGAGGCATAGGGAGAAACGAATAGTGAATCCCCACTCAGCCATCCTGTCGCCTGGCCTCAGCATCACTTCTACCCCTTCACCTGCTCCCTCCCATATTATTTTGAAGCACATCCTTCACGTCATCATCATTTTACTTGGAGGTATTTTGTAACGTGTTTCAGAAAGACACAGTCTTTTTTTCTTTCAGCTGAAGCGCAGTATCTGTGTGACACCCGAGAAGGTGAATGGTAATTCCTTAACACCATGAAGTAGTCTGTCAGTGTTGAAAGTTCTTTTTTTTTTTTTAAAGATTTTATTTATTTATTTGACAGAGAGAGAGATAGCGAGAGCAGGAACACAAGCAGGGGGAGTGAAGAGGGAGAAGCAGGCTTCCTGGCAAGCAGGGAGCCCGATGTGGGGCTCCATCCCAGGACCCCGGGATCATGACCTGAGCCAAAGGCAGTCGCTTAATGACTGAGCCACCCAGGCGTGCCAGTGTTGAAGGTTCTAATTGTGTCATAAATGTGATAGAATTTTAAAACCTAGTTCATTTGAATCCAGAGCCAAACAAGATCCATGTTGCACTGACGGCTGTGTCTGGTGAGCGTCTCCTTGAGCTCTGGGCTGTGGAGGGAGCCAGGTCGCTGTCTGCGCCCCTCCCAGCCTGGCGGCCCGCGTGCTCAGAGCCACAAGGTCACTCGGCTTCACCTGGGACTTTTGTCTGTTTGGATTTGTGTTTGCAAGTTGCCTGGTGTTGGGAGCAGGCAGCGCCTGCTGGTCTCCCTGCTCGTGCTCCTCGCTCAGCCCCGTGATCTCACTGAGGAAGGCAAGAAGGGGCTTTCCTCCTGTGCCGGCTGCTTCCCAGTCCTGCGGGGGTTTTGGCCAACGAAGGTTCAGGCCTCGGTTTGTTTCTCGGAAGCACCGAGTTGCTGGTAGCATCCTTGCGCAGAGCTCAGTTAGGGTTGTCAGCAGCGTTAGGGACTCATGGATTTAGACATGTGTGATGTGTTAATGGCATTCCACGATTGCTCCATCTCCATGGAATCCGCTCCTTCCAGGCTGAAGCCCCTGTCGGTTTCCCGGGGGTGCTGGAGCGTCATGGTGTGAGAGTCGCCCTTGAGCCCATGGTAGTGTCCCTGAGGTGACCATGGCTGAACCCCGGTGTTTATGCGGTTTGATCTTTAGGACGTGTTCCTAGAGATGCGTGGTAGGTCCTCTGTCTTCCAGTCTGTTGGGAGAGTTCTCTGTGGTTCGACCACGTGGGCACACACCTGGGGCCATTTGTTTCCTTTTACTCTGGATCGTCAGGGTTGGTTGGCTTTTCATTTCATTTTGTTATATAATGATGTGAAATATTTATTGGTTATAAAAGGCAAATTTGCAAATTGCTCTGCACTGCCTTGCCTTCCCTCTCTTGCTCCTCCATGGGGAAGCGCTGTTTTTTAAATTATGGCTTATTTCTCTATGAGAAAACCCCAGTACAGTGCACATGCTGTCTATATGCCAGGTCCTAGCTGTGTATGGCACATCCTTGAGGTGGGGATGCCCAGGGGCTGGGTGGGGGGCCTCAGGGCCCACAGGAAAGCATAGACCGTCAATGTGCTTTTTGTAGGAAGACGGAAGAAAGTGTCGGGAAGAAGGAAAACACAGTCCAGGTCGTCTGTGAAGAGCAGGAGCTCCGGGACGAGGTCTAAGAAACGCCAGGGTCGTGTGAAGAAGAGAAAAGGGAAAAAGTCAAAGGTAGCCTTGGAGGGTAGTGTTCCCACTGCGCCAGTCAGTTCCCTTGTGCAGCTAGGTGGTGGGATGCACAGAAAAGCCTCCTTTTTCTGTATTTACTTAGAGGTCCACTGATAAAAATGAACATTTCTGCAGCACACATTGAAGATGGGGCTGGGACAAGAGATTTTCCAGGACCCTTCGGAGCCAGGCATCCTGAGGGGTTGTGTATGACTCTTGGCACCCCAGGGGTGGGCAGGCCAGAGGGTGTGGAGGCAGCAGGGCCGTAGCCACCAGCTTGTCTGGGAGGCAAGGAGATTATTAGCTGGGTGGGGGAATGGAGAGAGGGAATCTGGCTGGGGCGTGCGGCTGGGCTTTCAGCTGGAGTGGTCTCGTCCTCCAGCTCTGTCGCCGCCAGGCTTTCAGAGCGGGACCCCCGTATGTGTGCAGCCCATGTCGCGTGTCCCTGCTCTGAAGTACTGTCCTCATGGCAGCTTCTGGCTGGAAATTGAAAGCACATTAATATGTGAAACACAAAGAGTTCAGTTGTGGCCATTGTTCAGGTGTTTGCTGCATCTTTGTGTGAATTTATACTCAAGGTTATTGCCGTTGCCTGACCAGTGTAAATGCATGGCGTGTATGCCTGTGGAAACCTAACGCCTCCGTTTTACATGGAGTATGGGAGCCGCCGCTCTGCTGGTTCATTGAGGTGCAATTCCTGCAGGGATGACCACACGGGCGCCGGCGGCACGCCTGCCCTTGTGGGGCTGCGGGTCCCCTCCGTGTTCCTCCTCAGTGTCAGGTCACTCATCACCTGGGTGGCCCGCTCTGCTGCTTGTGATTTTGTGTTCAGAATCAAGCACCACCTGCAGTGGCAGGTGTGCCAAGGTCCTGCAGGTGGCTTTGTGGTGCGTAGGTGGGGATGTTGGGACGTGTTCGTTAATTCTGTTGAAGCAAAACCTCTAGAGCATTACCGTTAATACACAGGAGGCCCTTTGGCTCCGGTGTAGCATTTCCTCAGCCTACGGTGTGGTGTTTTTGGAACCTTTAGCTCCTGGCTTGCTTGTCATTCCTTTCCTTTTGTGACTTTGGTTCAGAATGAAGCCACAGCCCGCTCCCGCATCGCACGGACCCTGGGCCTCCGGGGTCCGGCCCACGGAGCCTGCATCCCGTCTGTGCACAAGCCAGCAGACCCCTCTCTGGGGCTGATGCGTGCGGACATCGGAGTGGCCTCTCTGTCTCTCTTTGGAGACCCCTATGAGCTGGACCCCTTTGACAGGTAACTGCAGGGGGAATTCCCTCCTTTCTTTGTGGGCAGTGGCCTCGGATTTTGCATTTGCACAATGAGGGTGAGGAGTCCTGACTCCTTTTCAGATTCATGTAGGTGGTGTGTGTAGAAAGAACTCTATACAACCTCATCTGCTCACGTGGAGGAAGGTCTAGTTTGCACATCTGCCCCACCTGCCCTGTGCCCACTCAGAGGCTTGGGCAGTTGCCAACATGAAGCCACTCTGTGGGGCCACATGTGCAGTTAATAAGGAGGGGCTGGGGGTCTCCCTGGGCCTCCAATGTGGGGTCACCATTCCTTTGGCCTGTGTGCTCTCTCCAGCAGTGAAGAGCAGTCTGCAAACCCTGCTTCCCCTTTGAGTGCCAAGAGGAGGGTTCTGTCGCAGTCAGCACTGCGTTCTCACCGGCCTGTGGCCAGGCCCGTGGCCATGGGGCTCTCCAGGTGTGTGCTGGCAGGGAGTGTGGTCGGGGGGGATGGGGGTGGCTACAGGCCTCTGGGGGCCAGCAGGGCTCCAGACTGGCCTTGCGCTCTGCCTGCCCCAGGAGGAAGTGCTGCAGTCAAGGCACGAGCACGGAGTGGCAGGCCCCAGTCTGCCTGGGCGCGAGCTGGGGGCGAGTAGCCACGGGTGCTTGCGGCTACCTCTGCCACAGAGCTGCTGCCCCCTGGCCGGATTGTTTGCTTCTGTTTCACCCCTCAGATAACCCAGTGAAACCAGTAAACAGGCTGCCTGTTTGTGGCAGTTGGGGTCGGAAGCATCAGATGATTTCACCTCAAACAGCCTGCTTTTCTTTTGTCAGAGCTGCTGGGTGGGTCTGATTCACTCCGCATGCAGGAGCCTGGCAGGTGGCCTCTTCTGCATATGGCAGTCAGGACCTGGGAGTGGGGGTGCCAAGGGGCTGGGGGGCACCTGCCTGGCTCAAGGGACTTGGGCATGGGGAGGCAGCAGTGGGTCTGTACCTGCAGGAGGAGCGTTCCTACTACAGCGCCTGAACCAGAAGTGGACGAGGCCCCCGTCCCAGACCTGGTGGGGAGCATCCTGTCGGGCCAGAGCCTCCTGATGATGAATGGCGCAGACATCATCATCCACCGGGATGGCTCCCTCAGTGCCAAGAGGGCAGGTGAGGCGGCCGCTGAATGAAGCCCAGCAATGTCCACGGGGATGCCCTCTCTGCCTTGACATTCCGGGAAATTGAGGGGTCATGTGACCCACTGGTTCTCCTTGTTTCTGAGCAAGCAGAGGAGACATTTGAGGATCTAAAATGCATTCTCTGCTCAAAGTGGATGTAAAGGGGCACAGTTTTCTCATTCATCTCCGTTAATTCTACATGACTTTCTGAGCAGAGTTGACAGGCTGATAGTTTATGTGATGATGGGGTTTCTGGGCCAGTCCACATACCCTCCGTGGCCGTAATGTGGCTGGTGTGTGTGCTCACAGAGCCATGGAACCAGCCCCTGTGGAGCCTTCCCCCAGTATCCAGGCCCTGGCAGGTTTTTGGGGTGGGGGTTGCCCAGCCATGGAGGATGGCGCAGACTGTGCCCCTCCCGGTCCCCCTTTGTGACAAGCATCTGTAACTGGCAGGGGTGCTTTCTACGGCCACAGAGCACAACTGTGAAACACAAGAGAAAGTACCCATGGTGGCAAGTGAGCCCCGAGCGCTGCCCCCAGGCTCCCAGGTGCACAGAGGTCTAGCTCAGGGAGCAAGTGGGAGTAGGCATTTATTTATTTATTTATTCATTCATTCATTTTTTTAAGATTTTATTTTTTTTTTGAGAGAGCAAGCACACGAGCCGGGGGGTGGGGGACAGAGGGAGAGGGAGAAGCAGGCTCCCCAGCCCCACACGGGGCTCGATCCCAGGACCCTGAGATTGTGACCTGAGCCGAAGGCAGACGCTTCACTGACTAAGCCACCCAGGCGTCTCGGGAATAGGCATTCACAAGCACAGCTTTTAGGAGAAAGCCATTGTGATCTGGGCCAGACAACGGGCTAGACAATGGACTGCGCTCCGTAAAGGAGGTGGTGGGGACTGATGGCCACTCGCCCTCTTGCCTTTCAGCACCTGTTTCTTTCCCACGGAGCACCGGCCGGAGCACAGGTGGCTCGTCCCAAGGAGGGAAGCACCCTGGGCCTGGAGCGCCTCAGTCAGGAAGCAGGTTTCAGAGCGCAGGGCTGAGCTGTCCTGGCGCGGTGGCGCCCTCCCGTGTCCCCGCACTCAGGACAGGGGCGACTGTGAGACTGGACTCGTCGGTGACCCCTCCTTCCGGTCAGACTCAGAACCTGACAGGTGTGCGTGGACCTGGCTTAAAGCAAAGGGACAACCCCCGACGTGATGGCGACAACCGGCACACTCTGCCCCCCAACTCTGCGTCCTTGAAGACCTCCAGTAGCTGCTCTCACTTGCCATCTGGTGGTGCACTGCTGGGCCAGGCCCTGAAGCCAGTTCCCAGGAGGCCCGACATCTCTGAGCTGCCGAGGATACCAAAGGTCAGAAGGGAGGACAGCGGCGGCCGACAGGTGGATGTGGCCCCCCCCAGCGAGCAGCATGTTGAGATTCCTAGCTCCTGCATCAGCCGGCTCACGGGCAGGGAGGGCCCCGGGCAGCCCGGCCATGGTGCCCGAGCAGAGGGCGAGCCCAGCAGCAGGGGCCCGCAAGAGCCTGGCCCGCACTCAGGGGGCGGCTCCCAGTCCCCCGCCTCGCTGGGACCCTCGAAGGGGAAGGGTGTCAGCTCGACCTTTGAGAGCTTCAGGATCAATATTCCCGGGAACACAGCACATTCTGGCAGACTCTCCAACCCTGGCTTTTGTAACACATTTCGGCCTGTCGACAATAAGGTGCAAAGGAAAGAGAACCCCTCACCCCTGTTCTCCATCAGGAAGACCAAACAACTCAAGAGTGAGATCTACGACCCCTTTGACCCCACGGGCTCTGACTCCAGTTCTGCTGGCAGCAGCCCCGAGCGCCTGGGCTCTGGCCTCCTGCCCTCTGAGATCACGCGCACCATCTCCATCAACAGCCCGAAGGCCCCAGCGTTGCAGACTGTGCGCTGTGTCACCTCCTACACAGTGGAGACTGTCTTTGGGACGGAGCCCGAGCCCCCCCCTCGGGGGCCTTCCTCCAGCGGGCTCGAGCTCCGGGGCGAGGGGGCTGCTGAGGGGGCCTCCGACCTGGAGTGCGAGCGGCTGGGCAAGGGGGCTGCCGAGGGCCAGGGCTCAGCCTCCCGGGCACAGAGGCCACCCCCGCCGGAGCAGTGGGAAGACAAGGACCAGCTGCCCTGCAGTACCTTCTTTGGCTCCGAGGAGCGGACGGTGACCTGTGTGACTGTAGCCGAACCAGAGACCCCGCCCAGCCCGGACGCACCGCAGACGACCACCCACAGGATTGTGGAGCTGAGGTCCCCTTCCTGCTCCCGCTCCACATCCAGCTCCCGTGGCAGGAAGAAAGCCAAGAGGAAGCGGGCCACTGCCAGGGAGCACAGGAGGACCCGCTCGGGCTCCCGCTCAGGTTCCCGCTCCGGGGACAGGAGCTCGCCATCGGTGTCGCCACCGCTGGGTGAGGACCACCCCAAGAGGCAGCAGACCAAGTCCCGGGGCCGGAGGTCTTCCAGCGACCACTCCAGCGGCCACGAGCGAGCCAAGCGGAAGAAGGCGAAGGACGAGGGCAGGAGGAGGGAGAGGGAGTCCTGGGGCCATGGCCGGCGGAGGTCCAGGTCCCGCTCAGGCAGCCCCAGCAGCTCCTCCCACGAACACAGGGAGAGCAGGAGGAGGAAGCGGAGGCGGGCAGGGTCCAGGTCTCGGGGGAGGGAGTGCTCACCCCCCAGCAGCCTGGAGAGAGCCCGGAGGCACCGGCACCCACGGGAGAGGAGCCCACGGGAGAGGAGCCGGGAGCGGCCGCGAACCAGGTGGGGCTCCCATGAGAGGAGGAAGCGTAGGTCCAGGTCACCAAGGTCGCCAAGCACAGAGCATAGGTCCCGGGAGCACCAGCGCCCTCGTTCCCATGAGAAGCGGCCAAGGCCTCGCTCCCCAGAGAGGAAGTTGGCACCCGCTCCCGCGGAAGGGCAGAAGCCCGACAGGGAGCAACCAGCCAGGCCACCGGCCTCAGTGGGAGCAGACGCCTGCCCAGCAGGGGCTGAAGCCCACAAGACCGTTCCAGAGGTACTGGCTGAGTGTCCGCCTGAGGACCTGGATTACGGTGACTCTGTCGAGGCAGGGCACATCTTTGAGGATTTTTCAAGCGAAGCCTTCTTCATGCAGCTGGATGACATGAGTTCCCCACCCTCCCCAGAGAGCACAGACTCCTCCCCAGAGCGGCACTTCCCACCCACTCCTTCCGTGCCCCCGGCCAGCCAGCAGCAGGACACCAGCCTGGCCATGGCTGTCATCAGACGGGAGGTGTCGCTGATCCATGGCGAAGACGCTGCACAGCCCCCGCCCCGGGCACAGAGCCCCGAAGAGAAGCCCCTGCTCCAGCAGGACGCTGCTGGGGCTGCCGTGGTGCCCAGCACCCTGGGAAGCCAGGCTGTGGGCGGGGTGCCCGTGGGGAAGGAGGAAGGCCCCTCTCAGACCCCGTTGCTGCGGGCTAAAGCCCTGGTGAAGAGAGTCACCTGGAACCTCCAGGAGGCCGAGAGCGGTGCCCCTGCTGAGGAGCGAGGCCTGCGTGAGTGGGGTCCCGTGGGCACTTCTAGGGGTGGACCGGGGCAGCATGGGAGGAAGGCCACTGTGTGTGTGTGTGTGTGTGTGTGTGTGTGTGTGTGTGTGTGTGTGTGTGTCAGGGTGGCACTCGGACCTCTTTGGTCACTCGGGCAGCGTAGGCCATGGGGCAGGGAGGTGGCTGTGTGTGTGTGTGTCGGGGTGGCACTCGGACCTCTGGTCACTCGGGCAGCGTAGGCCATGGGGCAGGGAGGTGGCTGCAGCCTGGCCTGTGGTCCTTGCTGGGATGCTTTTCTGGAATTTTCCAGCCAGGAAGCAGCTTCTGGCCCAGGGTGGCCACAGAGCACCCACCTCCCCTGTGTTGGCCCTCAGGGACGCCGCTCCACAGGCCCCAGAAGCCCCGGGAAGGGGTCTGGGAAACAGAAGACATGGGCCCCTCGGTGGGGTTCCAGCAGGCATCCTTCTCTGAGCCCCCTCCCCCTGGATACACACTTCCAGAGTCTGGCTTCCCTGATGCTGAGCCCTCTCAGGTGAGTGCCTGGGCTGGAGGGATGTGAGCTGGCGCCAGGCCACACAGGCTGTGCCGGGCTGGGGCTGAGGACTTCCCTCTCTGGCTGGGGCTCTTCCTGCTATGGGTGTGGGGAGCGCTGCCCTGAGCCGTCTGCATTTCTGTCCAGGTTTATACCCCCAACCTACCCCCTGCCCCAGCTCTGCCCGTGAGCCTCCCGCCGTACACACCAGCCAGCCAGCCCACGGTCCAGTTTATCCTGCAGGGGAGCCTTCCCGTGGCGAGCTGCGGGGTCGCACAGAGCCCAGCCCCAGTGCCCACGGCCCTGACCACAGCCTCCGAGCCAGCCGGCTATGCCACCGGCACCAGCAACTCCGAGGAGAGGTCAACGGCTCCCAGGCCTGCCGCAGAGAAGGCCAAGAATGAGGAGGTGAGTCTGGGCCCTCCCTCCGGTGGGGGCGGGCAGTGTGGCCCCCAGGCAGGGCGGTCACACATGTGCTTGCTCCCAGTACATGAAGAAGCTGCACATGCAGGAGCGGGCGGTGGAGGAGGTGAAGCTGGCCATCAAGCCCTTCTATCAGAAGAGGGAGGTGACCAAGGAGGAGTACAAGGATATCCTTCGCAAGGCCGTGCAGAAGGTGGGTCCGTGCCGCCTCCTGCTGACCCAGACTCTCGGGGTACCAGCCTAGGGCTGCGCAGCGAGGGCTGGGGCAGCGTGGTCACGTCCTGGCTGCAGCCAGAGGCCACTTCTGTTCTCCTGTCACAGTGGCTCGTAGACGCTCGGGCTGAGTAAGCATTGGTGTTTGTGAGGGGACAGGACTGCGTCCCTGTCACCTGTTCAGCAGGTGAATAACAGAAGGTACATAACACACCACACTTGCAGGTGGGAAAGCAAGAGCCCAGGGCGTCAGGGCCAAATGTGTGGCACGCCGGCCACACGTCTCCGGCTGGGAGATGGGCCTTCAGCAGCTGTGCAAGGCGGACCCAGTCGGGGGGGGGGGGTGTCCTGCTGTGTGCCTTGTGGTGGGGACCCCGCGGGTTCAGTCCCTGTGATCCCTGGGGAGGCGTCTGGGTCATTTGTGCCCCTCTCCCATGTCCCCAGATATGCCACAGCAAGAGCGGGGAGATCAACCCTGTGAAGGTGGGCAACCTGGTCAAGGCCTATGTGGACAAGTACAGACACATGCGCCGGCACCGGAGGCCGGAGGCCGGAGAAGAGGCACCCGCCCAGGGCACTGAGAGCTGAGGCTGGGCACGGAGCCGGCGGCGCTAGCCCCCGTCCCTGAGAGATTCTGTTGGGAGTGGCAGAAGCAGAAATCTCTGAAGACACCCAGCCAGCATTCCTGTATTCAGGGTTCCCGTGATCACATGTGGTCTGTGCACCTGTCCTCACAGTTTAAAACTGGACTTTTTTATATGTATATTATAGATACACACTGTTTCCATTGTGTTCTAATTTATCAAAAATGGATTATCTTTAGAAACTTCTCGATTGACTCAGTACTTGAAAGGCGAAGCCTTTGGTGATCAGGAGGGGCCTGGGGGGGCTGGAAGGAGCTCCTTGTCCCTTCTCACAGATGGCCCAATTTTATTTTCTATGGTAATAAGGGAAGGCCATGCCCCAGTTTTCTATTGTTACGCTCTGTAAATAATGCTCATGTTTGCTGCCTCCCACAAGGCAGAGCGCAGTGTTGGTGGATCTGGAAGGCAGGGGCCCTGCGCACAGCACAGAGTCAGCCATTCGTGGTGCGCCCCCCTCCCCAGCACAGCTGCCAGAAGCAAACGTCTGCTGTTCCCAGAGCGTTTTGTATGCTTTGAGTAGAGTTTGTTGGCTCTAAAGTGTGTGGCCTGTTTCTTCATTGTGAAGACAGAGGAGAGCGGGTGGGGGCAGGGGTGGTCACCTCCCTTCCTGGGCCTGTAGGTCTTGTGGGCTCCCGGGAAGTCTGTGGTGCCCCTTCTGAGCTCCAGCCCCGACCCTGAGCCCACCCCTGGTCAGGACACCAGCGGGATTCTTGAGTCCTTTTTTTTTTTTTTTTTTTTGAGTCCTTTTTATTGGCTTGGAGAGGGGTCTGGCCCTCAGGCCGGCTGCTCCACCTCCATGAGGAAGTGCTCAAGGTCCTCATAGAGGCTGTTGGAGCTGGACAGGCAGAGGCCGAGGCTGCTGCTGTCCAGGGAGGACACCCCTTCTCGCTGCACGCACTCCAGGTGTGCCCGGCACAGCCGTGGCTCCAGCTGTGGGGAGGGGAGGGTGTCATCAGGCCACAAAGGGGCTGCATGAGGCCTTGCCCCCAGGACCGCAGGCCTCACCTTCACCAGGACCAGGCTCTTCTCCTTGGGCCTCCCAGCTGACAGGTCCTGCCCAAAGCCCAGGTAGATGGTGTAGTGTGGGGAGCCCCGACGCCGGCGCGCCCGGAACTCCATCATCTCTGCAGGATAGGACTTTGGTGAACAGGGCCCCGGCAGGACAGAAGGGGGCAGGGACGGCACGGCCCCAGATCAGGTGCGTCACTGACCTCGGAAGAAGGTGCTGAAGTCGAAGATGGGGGTGTCCTGGTTCCTCTGCAGCAGGCGGGGGGTTGTGGAGGGACTGGCAGAGCCCAGGGGCCCGCCCACCTCCCAGTAGACCTTGCACTTGCCCAGGCGCCGGGCCCACAGCCCGTGCCCCCGCAACTCCAGCTGCAGGCCAGGGGCCACGTGTTGCAACAGCTTCTCTGTGTAGTGCAGCTGCTTCTGGTCCGGGAGCTCGGCCGGGCTCGGGAAGGCCACATGCTGGGGTGCCGTGGCAGCTGGGCTCGGGGGCCCGTACAGGAACACGAAGCTTGGATGCCACACCACCTCCTGCAGCACTGTGCGGCCCTTGTACATGATGGTCACATCCAGGGCCCTCAGGCTGGGCTCTGCCTGTGATCCAGGCTGTGAGCAGCTGGGCCTGACCAGCACCTGCTCACCGGCCCCTGGGGTGCAAGGCTCCACCTCTTGGGGGCGCTGCCAGGGCTCCAGGGCTGGGGCTGGGCCTGCATCTGGGGAGGAAGGCTTGAGCTGGCACCTGGTCCCCCAGCCCCTCCCTCCTCCACACACCCCTGGCTCCTCACCTGTCACCTGGGCCTGGTGCCTGGAGACTGTCTCGACTGCCCCTGGCAGGGACGGCTCCATGTCGGAGAGCTCCGGGCCTGAGGAGGGGAATGACGGCTGCGAACAGCTGTACTGGCCCAGCTGTGGCTGGCTCCCTCCTCACGCCCACCCCCACCCCCCACCCTCTCCCTCTCCACAGGGACTCTGCCATCCAACTGCTCCTGACCTCTGGCATGGAACCCTGAAAGGCCGAGCACCCCCACCCAACACAGCCTCTCACCAGGAGCCTCTAGGGGTACTGGGTCCACCCCCCACACAGCTTCCAGCAGATGGTCCTCCAGGCAGCTCTGCTCTAGAGCCTGGAGCAAGAGGTCCTCAGCATTGCCGGCTGGGCCAGAAAGGTGGCTTGGGGCACAGGGCTCAGGGCTCAGCCCGAGCCTAGGGAGCCCGCCCTGCAGGGGAAGAGAGGGCCAGTGTAAGTAGCTCCCCAGCCCCATGAGAAGTGGCAGCCCCAACCTGGGAACAAGGAGGGCAGAACAATCTTACCATCAAGGGCAGGGCATCTTCAAGGGTCTTCTCCCCCTGGTGAATGCCCGCACCTTCCAAGAGAGAGTTGGGATCAGGGGAGTGTGGGATGAGACGCTGGAGTGGCACACTTGGGTATGTGTCCCTGGGTAGGCCCTCAGAGCTGGGTGTCCCCTGCCATTAATCCCAGCAGGCCAAATCAGCTTTCCCTGCCCTCCCCAACAACCTGGCACCAGCCTCTTGGAGGCCAGTTTCTGAAAGCACAAATCTGCCCCAGAGGCTGTCTCCAGTGTCTGGCAGCACTGTGTGTCTGCCCTGAACATCCTGCTCCCTAGACGGCTGCCCTCCCCTGGGGCTCCTCACCTCTCCACCCCATCTTGGAGCTGAGCCCGTACACTTTATGTGGGTCAGTGGGGTCCCCCGAGTTGTCTCGCAGCATCACAAAGCGCTGCGTACTGCGCAGCGCACAGCGGAAGTTGGTTTTCCAGCTGGCGCGGAGTGCGCCCTCGAGGGCCAACTGGTCACCTCCACCGCCGCCACTGTCGGGCGGCCACCTGCCGCGGGCCACAGCCCAGGCCTGGGGAGAGGGATAGAAGGTGGAGCCTGGGGACGCGGGCCAGGGCCTGGGCCGGCCCTCCCACCCAGTTGGGCTGGGGTCCCACCTTGAAGATGCGCGAGTCAGCCTCTCCCAGGTCCTTCCGCGCGAAGTGCTTCCAGGGCACGCGGAAGCGTGTGCGGGCCGCGTCCAGCCACCGCAGGCCTTCGTAGCGGCCGCTGCTGACCTCCCCCAGAAGCCAGTCTCCGAACAGCAGGCGCGGGGGCCCCCTGCGGGCGGGGCGACCGGCCGGGTCAGGGTGCAGGCGGCCAGGCGGTGTGCCCGCGCGCCGCAGGGTGGGATGGGCGCTCACCTGTCAGGAGCCACGGCCATCGCTCCCTGCAAAGGACTGGCGTGGAGAGGCAGGCGGGCCCTCCGCGGGGAGGGGTGGTCACAGCCAGCAGGCAGGTGTGAGCACAGGCGGGAAGCTGGATGACGTGGCCCAGCTGTTACAGGTGTCGGGACCACAGACGTGGTTGGGGGCTGATGGCCACGACGTCGCCGAGGTGTGGGGTTCTGGGCAGCGGTGGCGCTGATATGACCACAAATGTGGGGGCGCACACACGTGAAGTCACAGGTGTTGAGCCAGCACCCAGACCCGGGCGGGAGGGCGCTGGCGGGGCCCTGCGGAGACACCACCAGAACGGCCGCTGGCTGGGGCGTGCCCGGGGCGCCGGGAAAGCGAAACCGCGCGCGCCGGGAAAGCGAAACCTAAGCCCTAAGCCGGGAAGTGAGGGCTCCGCTGCTCGCGACCTGCGGCCTGCGGCCGGTCAGCGTGCGACTCCCACTTCCCAATCCTAACCCGACTCCCGGGACCGGGCCCTCCCCACCCCCGCCCTGCGCTGCACTGCCCTCGCGCTCCACGCGGGCCAGTGGTCCGAGTACCTGCGTGCCGGGCCGCCGGGGCGGTAAGGTTCATCTCCCCGAGAGGCTGGGAACAAGCGCTTTTATGGGGACGGGCCGGGGGCGGGGCTGCATGTGCAGCCGAGGAAGTCACGTGCTCTGGCGGCGTGTTCGTGTGTTGGGGGGAGGGACGAGTTCCCCAGGTCCCCCGCGCAGGTTCCTGGGTGCGGGTGGGGGTCGTGCAGGAGCGGCAGGAGTGGCCGGTCCTGCGGGGTCCAGTCACTCCTCTCCCTCAAGGAGCACCCCCAGCACATGCAGGGACTGGGCAGGGGGCCTCTGGCAACTAACGGGGGTGGGGGAGGCAGTGGGGTAAGCTGAAGACCTCACACAAAGCCCGGCTCTTCTTTTTTCCAGGAAAGTGGGTCATGGAGGAGGGCGTTGGGCAAGTGGCAGCCCTACCGTTTGGATTTTTTTTTTTTTAAGTAGGCTCCACGCCCAGAGTGGAGCCCAACCGTTGGGTCTTTGCCATCAAGATCGGAGCTGAGATCAAGAGTGGGGTGCTCAACAGACTAAGCCACCTAGGGCCCCCCCTTGGGATTTTTTTTTTTTTAAGATTTTCATTTTATTTAGAGAGCTTGTGGGCACGGGAGGGGAAGGGAGGGGCAGAGGGTTAGGGTCTCCAAGCGGACTCCCCGCTGAGTGCAGAGCCCTACCCCAGCTGGATGCTGGGACCCAGAGATCATGACCTGAGCAGAAATCCAGAGTGCACCGGGTAACCGACTGAGCCAACTAGGCGCCCCCACCCCGCTGCCTTTGGAATCTTAATGAGAATTGTTCAGACAAGAATACTCATATACCCTTGAGAATAAGACATTTGGAAAGGAATTCGTGGTGCTTTTTCATTAGGAAAAACACCGATGACCCTGAAGGGACAGTGTGGTGGGGGTCAGGAAGTCCTGCCTGCGGTCCTGCCCCGACGAAGCCAGCAGAGGGGGCTCTAGTTCCCCTCACAGCCGGGCCCACCTGCCACCCTGGCCCATGGCCCGCAGCCACTGCTCCCAGATCCCCTCACCCGGGGAGCCCCTGCACCGAGCCACAGGTCACAGTAGAGGCGCCAGGGCCGGGTGCCTCTTCGCACCGAGCACCGGGTGTTTCCTGCCCCCACGGGACCTCACAGGCGCACTGGCTGTCACCCTGAACTTGCTTTCCAAAATGAGTGTTACTGAGGTGGCTCCTCAGTTCCCCCCAGGCCAAGAATCTTCCTGTCGGGTGGGGAGGTGGGGGATCCGCAGTGAAGGGTGCCCCCCTCCTGCGGCAGTGGTTAGGCCGGGAGAGGAACTTGCGCCGCCAGCTGACGCTGGCCTGGGAAGCCCCGCGGCCGGCGGGCGCAGCAGGTGGTTTACGGGAAACGGCGCTGCGCTCCAGGCAGGGGCAGGGGGAGGCCCCAGCGCG